TTAATAGTTTTTTATCCCATTTTTGTTTTAAATGGGATCTTGAGATGTCTCGAATGATCTCAGAATTTTTTTTTCAGTATCTTCCTGTTCTAGAAATCTTTGAAACAAGCAGTAATTAAAAACTCATATTTCATTATATTGTTATTCAATGCACACCATTTTAAAGCTTAGAGTGTCTACTTTTCGAATGTATTTTTTTAAAATGGTGTGCATTGAATAACAATATAATGAAATATGAGTTTTTAATTACTGCTTGTTTCAGAGATTTCTAGAACTCCGAAAACGTATGAAAAATGCAAATAAACAAATCAATTTTGTTTTAAAACGCCAGGAAGACACTGGAAAAAAATTTCTGAGATTATTCGAGACATCTCAAGATCCCACTTAAAACAAAAATGGGATAAAATACTATTAATAGAAAAAAATATGAATGAATTACTATAAAGTGGTCCAAAATAGTGGGGAAAACGCAATTTTGACCCCTTTTTCAATGTTCTTGACAGGAAATAACGGGCTTCAAGGCACATGGATCGATACCTATGGGTTTTCCCATTGTAATGAACTTTGAATCATCGAAAAATATCAATTTTTGTCCGAGTTCTGAAACAATTTGTCCACCCGTTTACAAGCTAATCGGATTGTTATAGAGATAAAGCAGGGGCTGAACGAGGGGACTTTTGATTGCGGTTATCTCGAAACCTGTCGAATTCCCGACAAAAATGATAGGGACCATTTTTGTAGATAATGATAAGATCTTTCTTTTTTATCTAAACAAAAATTCTCTAATTTGCATATTGTGGAAGATATTGGCGGGAAACCAGTTTTAGGGTCCATTTTGGGCCCTTTTCGACGCAGCAGAGTTGGTAAAAGTTTTCGACCTTGGAAGCGACCGCCGAGACCTAAGAGTTGAGCCACAACGGAAATCTGGACCGACTTAATGACAGGTTGGTCCCTTCAGTTACTGAACTATTAGGTATATTTGAAGTTCTATCTTATTTAATAAATGGATCTTTTGGTCTTGTTAGTTTAAAGTCCTAGAATTCCACTGAGTATTTGTCTGTTTGTTAATGTCATCCATAGTTTTGAGATTACTTCACAGTTGACAACTTGATACTTGACAGGCACAGCCAAGCATTATTCTGATTATTGCCAAATAAAATGGATGGCTAATTATTCTATGGGGTTGCGACAGAAAACCAGTAAATTTGATGGTGTTTTTGTGGATAGGGGCGAAATAGTGGTAGACTTAAGTTAGCCACAAGAAAATTGTTTCGTCTGTACGAATGCAATACTGAGGCCTCATAGGAAGGGCCTCAGTAATATGATTAAAAAAATAGTAACTTATAAAATGTTTAAAAATAATAAAATTGAAAATTACGTAGACTTTTAGCAGTCTTAAACTAAATTAAAAGAGTAGGTACCTATTAAGAAAACTAAGTTAACATTTTAAAAAATATGTTTTTAATAATAAACCCATTTAAACAATATACATTCATTAAATAACTTATTTTACAAATGTTTGAGGCGCATTAACATATAAATAATAAATAAAAAACAATCAAAATAAAATCACTTCTTATGGTTGAAACAAAAATAATGTAATAAAACTACAGAGGTAATACTGTTTTATATGGTTTACCCTGGACACAACAAAAGAATATAAAATAAATATTTTACACAAATTATTTCGATAATGATTTGTCTCCAATTCACAAAACTAACGTATATCTCGGAGTGGTCCAAAAGTAACCAACAAATTAGTTTTTTCCAAAGATATCGGGATAATAGATACGCCTTGTTTACATTAAATTTGTCCGCAACCTCTTTCTGGCAGTACGCTCTTCTTATGTTGTCAGATTTTTTCCTTCAAATATCCTGCATTAAATTTTTATTAAAAAAAATACTATTTCCTTTAATATAATCTATTAAAAAAAGAAAACTAAAGAATTGAGTTATTTATTCGTTACAATAACTTGAAATTTTTATTTATCGTCATTTACACGTGTATCTTATGTGGATATTGCACATTCTGGTTTATAACCTTTAAGTTTGGCAACCTAAGACTTTTTGTTGACTGCGTCAAGTTACAGCTTAATTTTTATTTTGCTTTTTTGTAGTTTTTTTAAGATTTTCGAGAATAATTTGAACATTGAACTGTTTAATAAGTACATTTAGGATGGCGAGGAATTGTGTAGTGTCCCAAACTATTTGTAATAAGAATGTTAAGCGGTCATTTTATAGGTAAGGTTTTTTTAGCATAGACGGGGGCATATATAGGAAATTAAGGTTTGATTTATTTGACATTGTAAAGGCATGTATACAATTGTCAGTGATACCAGTTCGAAAAAAGTTGTCATTTCGTTATGCAGACAACTCTGAAAGTAAGAGTGACGTGCAATCCAAAGGGTATTGTTTTTGAATATCTGTATCTAAAATAAAGTTGTTTTACTGTTTTTTATTTCATAAAGAAAGTTAATCGTGACAATACCGATGTAAAAACTAGAAAGAAGATATATAATGCTTGGCATTCTATATTATACTCTTATTTAACAGACCCCCCTAACCCCCATTTTTAATCAGATTTTTTCAAAATCAGAGGTCATCTTTCCCTTGTAGAGCTTGATTTTTGCCAAAAATTCAAGTCGATATCATTTTTCGTTTTAATCCCCCTTTATTTTTATTCAGATTTTTTAAAAATCAAGAGGCTTCGTCCCGTTATAGAGCTTGATTTTTCCTGAAATTTTCAAGTTGATATCATTTTTCGTTTTTAACTTATCACAAGGACAAAAAATGTGACATGGGACGGACAGACAAAGTAAACCTATAATACTCTTCACAGACTAATGTGTAAAGAGTATAAAATATTAATAATAATAAATGGCTTTATATTTTTATTTGTTCTTCTTGTATTTTTTTAATAATGATCTAGAATAACAAATTCGCAATTTAGCACTTTCAAATCAACGACAAACAACTACTAGACTAATTTTGTTTATAAAAATCGAATTATAAACATTTAAGGTGCCACGTAGTTGTCAAATTATTAAGAGTATGTGTGTTATGTTACAAGGATTGTTTATGGTTATAATTCGGTATATTGACTTAACATAAAGCTCTAAAACGCACAAAAGGCTTTCAAAATTACATTAAGTATGTTTGCATTCTTAATGACACTTTAATGTATTTAGTATTTATCCAACAAAAGACAGTTATGACTGTCATTATTGATGTCATTTTAGACAAGTAAACTATCAAATAACACACTAGTAGTGAGTTATGGATTATAACGTTCATATTTAAAGTATTCTATTATTACAAGCAGAATTCACATTGATATTGAAATTAAAGGAAAACGCTAACGGTTTATTCGAATTTGAAGTAATTGAAAAATTCATTGGTTCATTGGAACCAGACGCTCCCATATCGGTACAGCTGCTGATAGTGCTGGAAGACGCCGATACATTAGAACCTTGTATTTTTTTGCAATTTGTATTTTGTTATGCGCCGATTCTTCTAGGTATCCGTCTGCTACCGTCGAGGACTTCCATCCTCCGTGACGCTTCAAAGTAGTCATATTAGCCCCTGCATTGGTCAAAAGAGTCGCCGAAGACCTTCTCAGGCAGTGGCCGGTGTAGAGCGCTGGTTTCTCCAATTTTAAAAACATTGGAATTCTTGAAGGTAATTTCGACAACGTATTTATTCCCACACACTGGCTGGTACACCTCCCATTTTTTTTAAATAACAAAAAAGTGGCTAGAACTAGTATTCTTTGGTCTCAAAGACATGTATTTTTTACACAAATTGATCGGGTTGACTGGAAATCCTTCTTCAAGTTTGGTGAAACTTCTCGATTTCTTGGTTTTAGTGTCTGGGGAAACTACGTAAAAATATTTCCCTTTGTCTTGAATATTTTCTATTTTCAAATTGACCAATTCATCGCATCCCCATTACCATAGCCACTTTCATCACAAGTACTTGTCGTTGGGAGCTTGGTTCAAAAACTTCTCTATATCAGGTCGTTCTAATGTCTTGGACTTCTTTGGTTTGTATTCCTGTAATTTGCTTTTCAAAAATATCGTTAATTTGTCATATTTTGAAATGTCGATTTTTTTTAAAGGTGAATAGTCGAGCGAAACATCGAGTATTTGGTCCATAACGACGATGGGGCTAATTTTTTTTGCAAATGTAAAAAATAAGCCAATAGAATATTTCCATCGATACCTTTTATCTTCTGTGAATTCATCCAAGACTCAAATATTTTGAACTCCTTGTCGTAAGCATCTCGGGACTTTTGTGGCAAAATCTGCATCGCTGCTTCTTCCGCTTCCGTAAGGATATCCTCAGAAACGTAATTTTCATCGGTTTCCTCCATTTTCTATACGTTGTTTTCTTCAAAAAAACTTTCCTTTTCTGCAAGGAAAACTGACAAATGTCAAAATTTATTTGTAACAATGTATTATGACCGTGGCAACCAAACAAACACCCTATTTTGACCAAAATGTAAGAAAGTCACTGTCAAGTCATTCTGACATTTATAGGGTACTGCGACGCAAGTAGCTTTGATTTGATCACAAAACTTATTAATTGTTATCTCATAAAAAACGATTTCTTCCACTTGTTTGTTGGATAAAACATTGTATGCCACTCGTGTGTTATGTTTCCTAAGTCACTTGAGAATTTATACCACTTGGCATTACGGCCTCGTGGTATAAATCTTTCTCGCGGGACTTATTTTCAACATAACACACTAGTACCATAAATAACTATTATTATTATGAAACTGCAAAACTAATTTTTTGACATCCATAATTCCACTCTAGATATTTTAATGGTACTATGCATTTTTTAATGTTCCACATTTCTTTTTTTTTTTTCGTGTTTTAAGATAAAAATCAATTTCCATTCAATTCTAAGCAAATTTTCAGTCCAAGAAATAGTATTTTGTTTTAAAAAGAAAAAAACATTGTGTAATTAAGAAAAGTTTAAAATAAAAAAAAGGCGTCGAAATTAAGGAATATTTATTAAAAATGGAAAACCGCAGAAAAAGGATCTTGGCATCAATAAAACGAATTTTAATAATAATAGCACCTAACAAAGGAATTAAGGAACTCCTTACCTCAACAAACAATAGCCTAAAAACTATGCAAACAATAAATTAGATAATATTAACACGTTTTTATTTTTTTCACAAATATATCTTTTATATTATATCGTTAACTTTTGTATTAAAAAACCTCTCTTAAACCTATTTTCCATTGGGCGGCAAACCACTTTGTTGTCTATTGGTCCTAGAACAACAAAAAAAAATACATTTTTAAATATTAATTTAAAACTAAAATAACTTGCATATGTTTTAAATGCAAATAATCAAATTTTAAGTTCTTATACAAAAAAAAACTATTTTTTTTTTAATATACCTGTATCATAATACCAATTAAAAACTACTAAGCATGCATAAATCAAACTTGATTTGTCAACTGACATGTTTATAATATTTTTGTATATTCTAGGAGAGTATAAATAACATTCTGTATGTCATAAAGTCAAATAAAATATCGAAATTCTGCATTTTATTATCATATGAACAATAATTTAGTAAGTTTAATAAAAATTCTAATGACACGGAACTTACTTTGTCTTCCGATTTTTATTACTAGATCGATTTTCAGGTGCTTGACTCGAAGGCCTGTTCATTTGCATGCTTTGTTGTCGGTAAACGTTAGGTTGGCCTCTACCAGAAACAAGTCTAGGATCCGGAGCTACAAACAAAAATATACATTTATAATATACAATTTAGAAGCAAATATAAATTCAGTATAGAACAGAAAATTTGACAAAAAACACATGAATGAATTTAACACATTTCTAATAATGAAAATTTAATAGCAACTCGAAATTGTTTTAGAAACTGTTATTCATATTAAATTAAAATTAGAAAATTATTACTTGAAAGAACAAAACACTAGTGTAATGTGAGCTATTTTCGATCAGTCCAGTCATGCTCTAATCCCCTAAGTCCCCCTCTGCGTTATTTGGAGCTTTTACGGCTTCCACTTTTCCCGTTACCAATCGACAAAACAAATCACTTTCTAAACTCCAGCGGTTCCAATTTTAAGTCTGGTTTAATCTGGAACATGCTGTATCTTTGAGAATAGATACATTTATTTATAAATAGGACTGATTTGCTATATGGATCAGTTTTAAATTAGATATTCGTTTGTGCAAATGAATATTGTTAATATAAATTTGTGTATATTGAGTATAAAATAAATGTGGTATAAATAAACGTTACGATAGATATTACTTACATGGCACCATGTAAGGTATGCTTTGGTACACATTTGCCGGCAATGACATCTTTTGTCGATCGAAATAAGTAACATCACTAGCTGGGGTAGGAGAACGGCTACTTTTCCCTGTTCCAGGAGTAGTTGCTCTTATATTGGGCGCCTGAAAATAAATATTGTGTAATAAAACAATGATAAATGTTGTCAAAAAGAGTATTATATGCTTAAAAATACCTGTTTAATTATAATAGGCGAATTGAAATTCGGCTGAAACGCAAATTGTGCTGGAGGCGTTTCCGGAGGCGTTCTGTAAATTCCAGAATTTTGCGGACAATAGCCGGCTATCACAGTGGCGGCAGGTGAATTCGTTCCTGTACTACTTTGACTGGATCCCATCAAAAAGCACTTGAATTGTTTGCCTTTAAAATTGCTGTTGGTGGCCTGTCTTTGTCGGAAATCGTATTGCAACGGAGGACCTACGAATCAATATTTTACTTTTATAACTAAATATAATCTACAGTTTTAATAACTAATTCCAAAAATTGCAATTTATAAAACAGGTAATTATTAGACATCTATAGTCGAAAGGAAACAGATTCATCATACACCAATTGAAGACATGAATGAATAAAGGGTCTATGTACATTTTTTTTTATCTATGTTTTTGCAAAAATTAAGAGCCTATGTAACTACCTATAATTAATATGATCTGTTATGGGTGACTGTAAACAATACGGACACAAGTTTCACTATGTTTGTTATATTCTTAATGTAAATGGTACTACTTATATTTTTGATCAATTTAACTGAGCCAAAACCAAAATAACCAAAGTTAAAATAAAAATATTGTGTATTAATCAGAAAATAAACCTTTTTTTTTTATATATAACCTCAATTTTAATTTGTATCAATAACAATTTGAGTTTTTTTTTTACTTTTTAGCCTTAAATTTGTTTATTTCTTATAGTATGTGATAGTGTTTATATTAAAAATGAAATCTGCGAAAAAGTCCCCAGCAAATTGCAATCTATATGGTGTTAATGTCAAAATTAAAATATTCATTATTTTCCAAGTGCAAGTCGTAAAATTTTGTTTCTTATGATAAATGGATATCTACAAATTCACAATATTGAAACTTTGCAAAACCTTGTTTAGAATCAAACTGTAATCTGATTTGTGACGGTTTTATTACCATTTACATGTATACAAAGTACTACACAATTCACTTCTTAATATAAGAATAAAGATAGTAAGATTTTTAAATAAGTTCATCAATAATAAACGTTTGGTATCTAAAATGTCCTTTAAACCACATAATAAAACATGTCCTGGGTTTAGTAAATACATATTTCTAGATGTTCTTGTAACAACCAATAGGTGAATACTCAAATATCTCTATGTTTCTTTTACATAGATCTTTCATCCACATATGTCTTCAATTTTGATTTGTTAAGTCTTCCAAAATTTTGTCTAATAAAAGTTTTGACGAATTTAATCATGTTTTTGAGGTGTATAAAAAATCAAGATGCAAATAACGTTGATTTGACAGTGTCAATTTACTTATACTTTAACAAAATTAAATAAAGAGAATTATTTACAATAATAACGATTATTAAGGGGGGGGGGAAGGTTAATTCGTGCAAAAAGCACATTTTTATGAATTTTTTTTGACGATAAAGTTAAAATCTGTTTATTTAAACTAATGGTACATTAACACATTCACTGCCGATCAGTTTAACCCTGAAGTCACCTAAGTACCGACACATTTACCAACAGGTAGTCTGGGCGCTTTAAAGCGCCAGCGGTACTCATGCGCAGATAACGCATTACGCAGTGAACGGGTTAAAGTATAACATTCAAAGAATATTGTGTCAAACTTTCATGTAAAAATATTAAAAAATACGGAAATGACAGTAATTATTCGGAAGCGTCTCGGAAAAAAGTAGAATTGCGGTGCTGGATCATCAGAAATAAAAAAATCAAAGTTCTCTCGTTAGATAATCGTTTTCCCAAGGTAACGCTGGGAGGGTTTTTTGAAATTTCAATTTTTCACTTTTTGGGAACACTTTGAAGTAAAAAACGCGATTCTTGCGAAAAAATAGGCTAGTTATTATACAATAAAAAAATATTAACCTCGTAAATTATGTACATAAATAGTGTTCAAAATTTCAAAAGAATAGGTGCAGTAGTTTTGAAGTTATGGGGGCGCTGACTTTGGAAACGTAAGTTGTGGGAAAAACGCTTTAAAGTTTTGAACACTAAAAAATTTGGACTAAAACGTTCATAAGCGAGTTTTATCGGCTTATCTCACACTGAATCATCGATGCCAAGTCCAAAAAGGATGTTGCTAACATTCATGATATCTAAAGCATCTTTTTGCTTCTGTCTACGACGAATCCTCATTCTTGAGCGCTTGATCCACTACTGATTTCCATGTCTTGCATGTAGGTTAGTAAAGCAAAAGAACATGCCAGGCCAATGCTACACTCAATTATATACAGTACAGGTATAAACACGTTTGTATTTGTGTTAAAATTTCTATAAATAAAGGTAGGAAGTAAGGTTAGGGATCGTATAGAGAGCGAAACAGCTGCCAGGCAAGAGCAGCTCCGAGACGAATTTTCGGTGGGGGCCATCACAATATATCCCCTATAGTAATGTTACTGGGATTCAAGAAATGGCTTTGAGTTACGCTGCGGCCAGACACAGGTCTCATGGCGCTAGTATCGTTATTGATTTTTGACATCGGCACGTTCATTGGTTGACGACGAATTCAAAACAATCTGATCGGAGCGTTACTCACTCCCATTCCTTCTCTTTGTTTAGATACTTATAAAAGAAAGAGATACCAGTTAATAATTCCTATTTCGAATCATCTTTCATTCTTTAGCGTTGAGTTTTTATAAGTGAAGCGTGAAGTGTCAGTGTTGACAAGTGATAATTTTTTGATTTTTTCTTCTACGAAATTTAATATTAATTTTGTTTCAGCGATATTTATTGTGATTTGTGTTGTTGTATTAAGTGCTTTCTTATTTAATATGGGAAACAAAACGTATAACAAACTCAGAAAAAGAGGAATCAAGGAGGGATTGCTATCTATGGCTGTCATCCAAGGGTCTGCGCCCTAGATAATACTTTTCCAGTGGGAAAAGCCTTTAAAATTCAAGTATAACAATTTTATGTTTCCGTTTTCCCTTCTTTTAATGTAGGTGCCAATTTTGAGGTAAGTTTGTAATAATTTTTCATATTTTTTCAGTTAATACCTACCCTCTTAATATTATAATTTAACTATGATCTTATGCTTTCCTATGGACACGATTCAAGGAGGGAGTCCTATGGCTGTCATCCAAGCCCTAGATAATAGTTTTCCAGTGGCAACAGCCTTTAAAATTCAAGTATAATAATTTACTTTTTTCGAAGTAGATGTCCATTGAAACTAAATTTTTTTATTTCACTTATTCATTTTAGCATTTATATACAGTATCGGCTAATGATACACTTTCCAATACGCTTGGCTAGAATCGAAAAGAAAACTAAAGAGTTAGCACATTAGTTCGATCAGGAAAGGAATAATATGAATGTTGCCTTGTGTGCTGTGTAATATGAACAGGCACACGGTGTGATGCATCCCTACGTAGCCGGCTGGCTACGTTCATAGTATTCTATTCCTTCTCCCACTAATGCTAACTCTTTGTAGTTTTTACTTGGACATTAGCAAAACGTATTGTACAACATTCGATAGCTGTCACTGTATTATCACAAACATCTCTTAATACTAAATGATTTCATTTAATAGTTTCTTTTTTTTTTTTCAGTAAAATGGATATGGCTAGAGTTATCTTCGTCTTTAAAATATATTGAATAAGTTTTATAATTTTTCAAATAAAATACTTTATACAATTTTTTGTTTTTTTTACCAGAGCCAATTTTTTTTCAGATCTAACCTCTATAGGTAAAAAATAAGTGATTTAGGTAAAATTGAAAGGTATATTACATGTTCTTTTAAATGTGTTGTTAATCCAAATGCTGCTCTTATTGTAATAGCTAATAATAAAAGAATTAGTATTATTTTTAGCTATCAAAATAAAAATAGCGCCTGGATTTACAGCTCGTTTAATCGAACATGCAATATACTTCTCAATAATTATTGCCGAATGAATATATTTAAAAATTCCCGCCATTCCGCGGCTGAAAATTTACAATTTTGGCGGGAAATTTAAATTTCTCCTTAAAATTATATTTGAATTTACCGCCATATCGAGTTAGTTGAGCGGCCAGACACAGACGCATTCTTGCGCTGCAAACTTAGTGCCAACTCTTTAACAAGTGAGATGCACTACTATAGGGGATATATTGTGGGGGTCATTGCCTTTAGCCATTCTCTTTTTAGCATATTTTTTTGAATAAAAGGCTCATAAATCGTAAGAATTTTCATCTCGGTGGGGAGACTGGCCCCATAGCTCCCTCCCCTGGAGCCACCCTTGTTGCCAGGTAACAATAGCGCGCTCGGGCCGGGCAGGTATTTTCTGATGCGCTGAGTCATGTATGAGGCGCGGTTACTCAAACCGCTGAATCTTCGTTAGTTTTGCTCCGATTCATCTCAAATTTTCACACAATATTCTTTAAAGGTTCACAAAATCAAATATAAAAAAAAATGCAAAAAAAAGTTTAAAAACTCCCCCTTAATAGAAAGTAGATTAATAATGAGAGCAATTCATACCTCCTTTTGTTAACGTTAAGAAAAATTATATACTCGAGGAAGCAAAAAAATGATATTTAGACGTAACATGGGTCAAGGCAGAACAAACTGCAACGAAAATTTGACAAAATATTAATACGAAATAAAAAAGGCGTTTTTCTATTACTGTGTGTAAAGTGGAACGTTTTCATTAGTGCGTAAAGTGGAAAAAAGTAATTTTAGTGAAAAAAAGTAATTTTTATATTTCTTATATTAGTGGATAATGTGTACGGTAGTAGAAAAAAATAGCTTATGTAACTCACATGTAAATTCCCTTTTTTGACAAAAGTGATTGTCACAACATTCACATTTATCAAAAAAAAGTAACTTTACATAAATAACTATTATGGACGTTTTAATTACTCACTGCACTTTTTTCCACTTTTATTATAGTAACTTTTAATATCCTATTACTTTATTCCAGAAAGTATTTTTGTTTCAATTACCTTTGTTATTCATAAAAGTCGTTTGACAAGGAACAGCACCTCCCAAATTCATCTGCTGTATGCTTTGCGCCAAATTAAACAGCGTCTGAGAATCGTGCCCGCTCGGAGTAGCGCTCGAACTGCAGCTATTAAGCATGGCGGTACCGTGGGGGTAGTTCTGTATTCCGGGTGCTGGCTGCGAGGCAACCTGAGTTCCCAATTGAGGTGAATATGGTTGAGAGGAATAAACGGGATTTTGACTATATATTAATTGAGGTTGATTAGGGTAATGAGGATAATAGGTACCTGGAGCTGGTTGGTTTTGATACACCACCATCGGTTGGTTGGGATACACTGGTTGGAGTTCGGGTGGGTTCTGGATTGGTTGGGTGGGAGTTATGAAGTTTGGAGGGTAAGGTGTTGGTAGGTAGGCTGAAACATAAATAGAAATGTGTTAAGTACTCAATCTACATATTTTATTTATGTATGTGCATTTTATTATACAAATACTTCTGTATACATAAAATAGAGTAGAATAATTTATTTAACTACGTTTTTTTTTTAATTGTCCAATATAACAAAAACCGATAAAACTATACCTAAATACAATAAATAATGCTGAGAATTGATTTCTTGACAATAATTAATCTAAAAAGCGTACCGAAAAACTAACTTAAACACGGACGCATCCGATGTACATCCTATCCTATCTCCAAAACGGAACGTCATCTAAGCCAAACTCGCCTATTGTGAAATTACTATTATCTGACGAATATATTATATCTGTCAAACGTTCTGAAAAGTGACTTTTACATCAACTCGTTTTCTTACAAAAACAAACCCTCGTTGATTTCATGGTTTTCGAAAATATTACTGATTAATTAGTTAAGATAAGAAGCAAACACGGATTCGTTGTAATTGGATCGTTAATAATTTAATAACCATGGTAAGAGCTGAAATATGTATGCGATTCCGTAATGATAAATATCTATTGGTGGACTCATAAATCTAGGAAATAAACCATGTTTGTACACTAGCGTCTATTTCTTGTGCTCTACAAATGAACATGCTTCCGTGGCGCCATCTAGTGAAGTAAGGTGAAGTGATAACGACAGCTGTTCAGTTCGTTCGTGCTTGTTAATTTGTTGTGTTCTGTCAAATTTGGAAAATATAATTGCAACGTTGCCGGATTGTGATAAAATTAGTAGTTAATGGAAAATTGTGATTGCCCATACCGGTCCATAAATATGCAACAAGAAAACGAAGCACGTAGGGTGGCGGCTTCGCCACCACCAAAAAACATCAACCCATACCTGGCTACGCCTATCGGCATAGACTCCAACGGCCTAGACACAGCTCAAATTGAATAATTGACAACTCCACATTTATAGAAATAAAAATATCAGTTGTCATATTATTCATAAACAAAAAATAATATTAGTCGAGGAAATGAAGCACTAAAAAGGCCAAAGTTCCTGGGTTTTTCCGTGCAAGTCGGATCGGAATGCAGTTTTTTGCATTCGCTTGCAAAATTATTTGTATCATTCCCCCGTAATTTCCGGGTCATACAAACCGGAAATTGCATTGCTGCAGCCAAAAATGCATTAAAGAAATGATGACGTCCAGGTCTAGGTTCAGACGCACCAGGTGTCCATGCGGTGTTCGCCGATGCCATATTTGAATTCTGCGACCCAAATCCCCCCTTTAACGATTTTCGGTTTTTTTTTCAATTGGGTCTGGAAGAACCTCGGTGAAGACGTTCAGGGCCAAGTTAGGGCGCACCAGGTGTTCGGGGGGTCGTTCTCCACGTGAAATTCGGATTCAGTGCCCCAAAAAAAAACCCTTTAACGATTTTCGGTTCGTCTTTTTCAATTGGGTCTGGGAACCCCTCGGGGATGACGTTCAGGGCCAAGTTCCGGTGCACCAGGTGTTCAGGGGGTCATTTTCGACGTGAAATTTAGATTCAGCGCCCCAAAAAACTCTGCTCAATCATTTTCGGGTTGTTCTTGCCGATATTGTGAGGAAAATTCTCGAAGATGACGTCCAGGTCAAGGTTTGGGCGCACCAGGTGTCCGGGGGTATTCGCCGATGCCATATTTGGATTCAGCGACCCAAAAAACTCCGATCACCTAGTTGCCCTCCTTCCCCGCGTGAATTTAGGGAGAGTCCCACGTCGACGTTCCTGAGCTCCAGGTCGGCTGTGGGTCAATTTAGACATTATAATCGTGATCAGCGACCTCGAAAACCCCCGACCACCCGATCTGGGCTAGTTCTGACCCTTATTTAACAAGTTTTGAAATCATCCAAGATGCCTCTCAAATAATGAATTTTTGGCTGCAACAATGCAATTTCTGGTTTGTATGACCGGAAAATTACGGGAGAATGATACAAATAATTTTTGCAAGCGAATGCAAAAAACCGCATTTCGATCCGACTTGCACGGAAAAATCCAGGAACTTTTTGCTTCATTGCCTCGACTATATAGAACGGTATTACCATGAATATATTTATTTAGAACAAATAACAAAAAGCAATTGGCAACATCGCTAAAATTATTGAAACGGCCACTTTTGCGCGCGCTAAATAATTTGAAGGTCAATGCTGGGTTCATTTGTAGAGCACAAGAAATAGACGCTAATTGTTTGTGCTAATTAAGCTAATTAAGAATATTGTACGCTCTAAGTACCAAAAATAAATTTACATACACCCGTCTATTGAGAAGGTAAATTAAATAATGAACCGATAGTCATTAGGCTAATCAACCAAGAGAAAGTTGTCAATAAATATCGCTAGTTTTCAACAAACACAATAAAAGAACAACCAAAAATAAAAAATCTCCAATAATTATTGATGGAATCGAGAACTCGCAACTGAAGCAATGGATAATTTTCAAATCAGAATATTAAATGATTAAATTATTAAAGTTAATATCGCAGATGGAAACCGTTATAAACTGACACTTAAGGTACCATTTGGGAACGCGCGACCCGCGACAGGAGACCGAGACACCAGTGAAGCGGCAAATATTGCCATACTAAATTTGATGTCGTCTGTCGCCTCTTCCGAAATGTGTTTCTTATAATTACATGGGTTCAGACGTGAAGCGACCATTTAGTGTCGCGGCGCGTTTTGAAGTCGGTCTCTATCTTGGCTTGCGAAATGGTAGCTTAACAAAGAATATGTATGGCTCTCTTTCGAGAACAAACAGAATCGGTCTAGAAAAGTAATGTCCATGAAACTGCATCACTCTTGTAATCCTTAACAAATAATCGCAGAACTAAGGAAAAGAGAATACAAAATATTGGACGCAACTAAAAAACTGAAATATAAAACAAAACATGTTCATGTTGTCATTTAAATGTAATGAAGATGTCAATGATTTTCTACAAGCGACTCATAAAACTTGTTTAATATATGGCATCCAGCTTTGGGACTGTGCCAGCAAAAGCAACATCAAAGTAATCCAACAACAACAAAACAAGACAGTAACAAATATCCTAGATGGAAATCTGTACTGCTGCAACTCTGATCTTCACCGGCAATTAGGAATGACGTACGTCAAAGAAACTATTACCGATTTCACCATAAGTCATCAACAAAGGCTTCTTCAACATGTAAATATCAAGGCAATTCAGATCCTAGACAACACAAATCAAGTAAGAAGACTCAAGAGGACTAAACCGTTTGAGTTAACCCAATACCCAATAGTAAAAAAACAGCATAGTACGAAAAGTGTATTCATTAAATTTTAAGTATAATTAATTTATTGAACTCTAGGGAATACTATTGAGTAAGACCAAAGTTTTAAAAAGTTTTAAAACCGTAGTCTAAGTTAGAATTAAATTACTCATTAAATTTAAATATCGTACCTGCTTGATTTGTTGATTGCACCGGTACTGTCGAATATCTCGGTGGTGTAGCAGTTTGAGGTTGATTACTGTTTTGATAATAGGCTATAGGCTGATTCCAATACGGGGCAGGTTGGTAAGCGACCTGTGGAGGAGGTCCTGAATTTTCCGGTAAGTAATATGTGTTAGGAATTTCAGGGACGGTTACGTTTGCAGGTACATCCTAAACAATTTAAATTTAACAAGTTTAGATACTTTTTATCCAATAATTACGTAAAAATACGTACCAATCTATTATCGTACTGCTGAGACATGTATACACCATACGGCGCAGAATAAACTACACAAGGTTGCTGATAAACGGGGCCCGGATCTGCTGCGGGTGGTGTTGTAAAAGTAGCATACTGAGGCGCGGGCTGATCTGGTTGACTAAAAGAATAACTCTTTTGCGGTATTTGAGGTACAGTTGTTCCGTTCGTAGGTGACGGAAAAGGCAAAATCGGACTTGTAGCGCTGTGCGTAATTTGAGATTGTCGAGTTGGAGAGGATTTTAAAGAATTGACATGAGGTTTTTTCGATTTTTGAGGAGACTTAGGTGGAGATGTCGGATGTTGAGTCTTAGTTGGCGAGTGCATTATTTCTGGCAGTACATTATTTGGGTCGTAATGATATAGAGTACCATCTTCGTTTTTCAATGGTTGACCAGTCTAAAATATACAAATATTTATATATTCAAAATATGGTTAATTATTTACCTGTGGATTAATAATCAAACTGCCTTTAGGTACGTTCTGGATATCGGTAACAGCCCAAACTATTTGGTTGTCCCCACATTTCCCGTCGTTTTCTATTTCTTCGTTTTCATTTGTATATTGGTTGTCCTCCTTAGGGTGCGGTGTGGAAGTTGGTGAAGGAGTCACGGATTCGGACATCTGCGATTGTGATTTGTAACCCGAACTAGAGGGACTCAAGCGCCATGATACTGAGCTAGCTCCTGAATCTAGAAATGTTATTCCTAATAGAAACAAGGAAAATATAGCCGAAGGGGTTAATTAATTGATGTTTCCTGACTATACAAATATAAAAACGTTTAATATAGTGCCCGTAAACGAGGGAAAAATCAGCTAATCCAAACAAGAACTAGAATAAACAAGTCCCGAACAATAGGCATTTTATTCTATAATGCACTTCCGCCCCGCATCCGTAATGTACCAGGAAAAAAGTTTAAATAGCAAATTAAAAATATATTACTGGTCATGTGTCTATATAATATTAACGATTATTTTGTAAGAATGAAACATGTCACCTAATATTTTTAATAACATATTTTTAAAAATTTTTTTATTACTATTTAATCCAGGCAACGAAAAGGTATAGAGGGAAATGTTTGAATAGTACATTACATTACGAGTGTGGAAAGTGACATTTTTCACACGAGTGGGAAATATTGTCGCACGAGGTACAAACCGAGTGCGATTATTACACGAGTGTAGAAAATCATTTTTCACACAAGTGATGTACAATATTTTTCCTACGACCACAAAATAATTTCATCAAAAAATGTAAAACCAGGTTATTATTATAATAATTAAAATGTATTCAAAAAAATAATCGACAATAATTGTATTTATTCAATTTTCATATTTTTCGAAACAAAAAAGAAAACAAAAAAAAAATTATGCAACCACCAAGTTTTGAACGCGGACCCGCTCACCCGTCGTGTAAGCCAAAGTTCAAATTGCAACTACCCTAAAACCTGATCTAATGGGTCTTATGTCAAATGCATTTTTAATTCGATTTTAAGTTAAAACAGATTAAAAAGCCAAAATAATGAGATGTATGTAGTTATTTTAAAATTATTTTAATAATTGTTAAAAATAAATATCTAGGATCTAAGTTAATCGTCAATTTTAATAATTTAATCATCATATCGATTTTACTGTTAATATGGACATTATATGTATAAATCAAAATAGAAATGATGCGTTTGACATTATGTGACAGCTGCTGCGGAAAGTAGCATATGCGTACACGGGTGGAAAGCAAATTCTTATTCATACGCGTGTGATATAGGGCACTTTCCATAGAACTATATAGTATGATATGTGTCACTTTCCTAAGTGGTTGTAGGAAAACAAAATTTTTGACTTCGTAACTTTAATTGGACTAGTTAAGAGGAGAACATATCAAGTCCCCGCCCGTAGCCTCTGAGACAGAGGGGGAGAGGGGGTCTGAAGGTCCCATTTTTTGGTCTTTCGCTAATATTTCGGAAACTATGTGTCCTAGCGACATGACCGCTCAATATAAAATGAAAGCTTATTAAATTTGCTAGAAGTTTTATTCAGCTTTTCGATATCTTATATAGTTTTCGATATATCAGCTCTTGAAAGTCTGTCATTTTGGAAAAAAACATTTTTGCCTAACATATTTTGTTCTTTTTGACCGGATAACTCTTCAACGATACACCCAAAAAATAAATAACGACCATAGGGTTGTAGAGAAATAAATAATATATATTAAGTTCATCATCATCATCTGAATTAGAGCGTGGTTCAAAGCCCACTTGTACTGAAGCTCTAGGCTTATTGTACCCTCACAGTTTCTATCCCATCAGATTGATTTTCTTGATGAATTCAAGAATATGTCTGATGGACGCTTTCGCGATTTCTTCAGGTTCCGGATATTGTACCCCGAAGTACCATTCCCGTTCCCATTTAAGGTTCCGGCAGTGGCATAGTATGTGAATAGGAGTTTCGTCCTCCTCTTCACATATTCTACATAGGGAGTCATCAGATAAGAGATTTAGGTGTCTTCTAAGGTCGCAGTGTCCCGTAAGGAGTCTTATTACGGCCTTGAGTTCGCTTCTGCTAAGGTTTAGCAGTTGATGTTGTTTGCTCGTGGATGGCCCCTCTATGAATCTTTTGGACTGTCTAAGTCCAGGAAGTTCCATCCAGAGCCTATGGTGTTCTCTTTTTATTTGTTCCTTTAACACCCATTTAACATGTTGGTATGAGATACCACATGTGGGTTCTGGTCCAATAAGAGTTTTTTCCGCTCCCTTCCTTGCTAGGTGGTCTGCTTTCTCGTTTCCAAACACTCCCTCATGTCCTGGCACCCATTCAAGGTATATTGAGTTACTATTTTATCTATTTTCCTTCAAATGTTAAAGCAATTTCAAAATTGAGCATGAAAGTTTTGCGACTAATGAATCTTTCAATTTTTTACCATTCCCAGTCTACGTATTGGCCGAAATATGCACCATTATGTACTTACAGTGAGTATTGGACGTCTAAATAGTACATACACTTATTTTGGAATATATAGTTGTGGCCCCTCTAACCAGGTTCCTCACAATTAAAGAATGTCTAGACCATTTTAATGGGAAAATATATTGCTATAACCATGTTTCTGCATGTATGAGAGTCTTTAAGACAGTGAGATGGTTTTATAAATCACAACCATTAACTGAAAACAACGTTTATTGACATAGAAAAGTGAATTAACAAAATATTACAATGGTATGTAATATTGAGTCAATTTCTTGCTCTATTTCCAAAAATTCTACAGTCATGAGCAAAAAATAAAAAAATCGAATTTTGACTAATTTTGAAATTTTGAACAATCTTGAGCGAACCTTAAAAATTTTTTTTGAGCTCCCCTTTGGAGGGGGGTCTTAAAATACGATAAATTAACATATTTTCGTACGAGACTCAAAAAAATAGTCGTTTTTTTGCGCCACCCTAATACCTATGGCAGTTTTAAATATATTTGATTAATTATATTTTTTAACAGACATCCTTACCTATATATTTAGTGTTCGTGGGGACGTCATATTTATTACTAACAAAAATATTTTATTAGCTACTGACCTTGTTTTGTGAGAAGTCTCGGACCAGCACTATGCGTAGACATGACACTATCTCCCCTACTTAGAACTGAAACGTTACCACCGTAACCTCCAAAACTGTAACTTTTTGCAACGCACGGCCTTAAAGCCTCAGCTGGATCTTCAGAATGTCCCTTTAAATAAATAACATATTCAAAATTAGATATAATTACTAACCTAATATTTTTATCAATGATGACGATTTTTACTTGCAACAATTTGCTAATTTTTGTTCTCTATACATAATTTGACAAAAAGTGCAAAATTTGAATTTTTAGGAAAATTATTCAAATAAAAGTTGTTTGCGATATCAATCTCTATAGTTTTTGTTTTATACATGATTTCTCTAAAATGGACCATAGTAGAAAAATTTGAGGAAAAGTGTTAAATTTAATTTTTTTGAAAATATTCGTTAGCAATGAATATATACATAAAAATATTTCGAGTAAGATGTATGTGGAATATATTTGGTTTATCATCTAAACATTTACAGGGGTGATACAATAGGTTGAACAAAATAACCTGAAAAAGCCTATAACTAGACATAAAAGTCTTTTTGAATACAAAAAAATTAAAACAACAATAAAACAACCCATCATATTTAATGAGAGAATAAATACTTAGCTGTAAAACTAATGAATTACATTAAATTCGACAAAATTTTTATTTCAGCCTAGCATTTTGGCATGATTCTCAAAGAAAAACAACCTTTAAAAAAATGCAAGGGGCCCTATTTTCGAATGTCTATTAAAAATGTCGCATTCATCATGATGTCTACTACTGTCTATCAAAATGTCGAACGACTGACACTATTCGTATTCTCAAAGACAAATAGACATTTTAAAATCGGTGACATATTTGGCGAATGGTAACATCTGACAACATTGGATAAAAACATACAATACGAGTATATTACAGCAGACAATTACTTGAAGGATCTCTTAGTAATAAAAAATAATACTGAAAATATATCCCGAATATATCTTTTTGATAGAAAGTCGAGAAAATAAAATATAATTTTTTAAACTAAAATTTCATGGGTGAAAAAATAGAAAATTGGAAGTGCAATTTGGTAAGAGATTAAATAGAAAGAATAAGAAATATATTATTATAATATAATCTAAACACTATATAAAAAAATTGTGATATTATATTTTCCCTTCAATTTGAAAAATGGAGTTATATAAATTTCTTAATGGCAGAGATTAAATATCTTAAACAGACAGGACTAATGATTGATAAATTAGGTGAAATTGTAATTAATCAAATCAATTTTTTTTTAAAACAATTTATACAATACTTAGTTTAATTTTTCTTAAAAATAAACATAAATTATAACTGTCACAACACTTATATTGTAACATTATCTTTAAAAAGGTAGGGCGACATTAAAATGTCGACTGGTTAAATACCACTCGACTTTATGTCTAACAACAAATGTCGAATTCGCCATTTGAGAATACGTTTTTGCGTTCTTGTTCGACATATCAATGTCACGTGTGACATTTAGAAATAGATATTCAAAAATAGGGCCCCAGATAATCCTGGAGCAATAATTGAAAGGAGATCATCAGGACTTCGTTTTGGACCATACCAATTTGAAGCTTTTTTTTTATTTTTCACCTGGGCTTGACATTCACTGGAGACAACCAATAGAATTTGTATAAGACAAGTAATGCCTATTCTGTATTAAATCTTTTAGAAGTTTACATTAAAAAAAAAGATACCTTAATAAGTTTTCCTATATGCCGATGATGCATTTCTGGAGTCTGCAATCGGTATCTGGAGGAATAGTCACTTTCGGTACTCGACCAGGGCATTTCGGGCCAGCCAAAATCTTCTGATGATTCATCTCGAAACTTAAAAAAAAAAGTAAAACAATAACAGAAAAGTATCAACAAAAAAATTCATTAGTTACCTCTCTATTAAAAATTCTTCTTCTAGCCTTTTCGTATTCCTCCTCTCTTTCTTCAAAACTTTTACTCCTTCGACTCTCAGATCCAAAAGATCTATCTGGTGATTTAAAGCTAAAAAAGTTTTATGATTAAAAAAATAAACACATACAGTATCCTACGTGATTAGTAATCACCAGTTGGCTGAAAGTAAATTTATTAACTTCATTAGTAACACAAAACAATGCCACTCAAAGAGACAATTTCCATTAAATTTCTTGTTATAACTGATCACGTAGAATACAAGTACTGTTGAAGTAAATAATTGACTAAAAACTCAATAATACTACAATTAAATTCATGATATCTACCTATAATCGTCTATACTATTTGAATCCCTTTTTAAAATGGATCTTCTGGGTTCTTCACTAAAAATTATGTCTTCTTTTATGTGCTCTTTAAATTCTACATCAGGTATCCTAGTATTTTTTGTTTTGTTTACTACTACACATTTCCCTGTAGGTTCGATATTGTGGTCCATACCGAAGTAGGCGGCGCATCTGTGAACTAACATTCTCTGGTACGATGACATGGGCGGGAATTTATAATGCGTTTTTCTAAAAAAATATACAGTATTGGCTATCGAACATCTTCCAATATCCCTTGGCACAAGTGAAAACTACAAAGAGCAAGCAGAAATGGGACAATACCGCGATACCAGCCCATACGGCCTGGCCAACGTTTCAGCGCGGTCGGTTCGTATAAAAATGCTAATTTTGATGGAAAGTTAGCACTAAAATTCACGAAAATGAGCATAAATGACATTTTTTATATGGGTAATTTGTCACTTTTTCGTCGTTAATTTGTTGTGAAAATAGTTATTTATGCAACAAGTGTGTAAAGTTACTCTTTACACACGAGTGGCATACAATATTTTTTCTACTACCGTACACATTATTCACTAATATTAAAAATATAAAAGTTACTTTTTTTCACTAGTTCGTAATGTTTTATTTTACGCACTAGTGAAAAAATGTACAACTTTATGCACGGTAGTAGAAAAATATATTTTTGAATTTTTTTCAACACTAATTTTTGACGACAAAGCGATACATATTCGAAAAATTCAAATGTATAACTTAGTTGATGAAAATCAAATATTATTTTACTGACAATTGCATCTATTCTATAATACTAATTATTTGTAGATAATACAGCCGTAGAAAAACTATGGTAAGGAAATATCGCATTTCTATGTGTTGTATTTATAGCATTGCCTGCAAACCTTATAGACTTAAAAAATTATTCCTTATTTGCTCCAAGAGCACTACAAGCGGATATTTTAGCATTAACTAGGGTATATTTCAAAAAGGAGACGGAGGACAATAATACAATCAATATTATTAATACTAATTGACACGCTAAACGTAATTATATTAAAATCAGATCATAACAACATACTATTTATATACTCAACCGCCGTGTATTGAATGTGTTGGAAATACATCCTACATATTTCATTCAATACATCAGGCTAGTCCAGACATAAGTGCCAAAAACAGTAGTCTGGTTCACAAGTTATAAACCTAGGATAGTACACCAAAAATTATAATTTTAGTCTTACTCGATTCGAAATGTGCAAAAAATATAAACAATAACGTAGAAAAAGAATGGTTTGGTTTTTAGAAGATATTTCAAACATTATTTGAGATAATCGCGGAAAAACTAAATATCAATATTAAGAAACTATTTTTTTTTAATCATTATCACGTTTTTTCATTTTTTGAAAAAAAAAAAAAAAAATGTTTAACTCTTCATTTGTTTATTAAACACACAAATAAATTTTTGAAATAACCATACGTCTTATTTTATGCAAAACATTATTTTTCTATTTTTTATATAATTTTTAAACATATACTCTTGGATTTGTCGCTTTCTTTTTGTTTTTCTTCATTTTTATTAAAATAACTTATAAATTATTGAAGATACGGCAAAAACACTTCAAGACCTGTTTGTTTTTCGTTAATCAATGAACAATGAGATTTAAAACGGAGCTCTAACTCAATTTTTTATTAACTTTTGACAATCATTAACTCTTCGATAATAATTAATTCATTCAATTGCAAATATAAAAAATAATAACTATCGCACGCCCCTGTCTTACAAGTTAATTAAAAGTTCCAAAAATAATAAGATTAAATATATGTATGTCGGATTTCGGATATTTAGAGCGTCATCGTCAGACATTGTTATGGCAAAACACTACATTTAACACTTGTTAATGCAATATAGAACAATAAACAATGTTGACAACACTTTAAACGACGTTGCACAAATAATTATTAAAGAAATACGGATAATAATACGATATCAAATTATTAATCAATTAAAAAAATGATACTAGCGATCCGGAGCCAGCGTACCACCGCCCGATCGATCACACTTCTCTAATCTCTTCTCGTTCCTTATTTTCTATCAACATCCTGCTGGCTCCGTTCCGTTCCCCTTGCCCCTCATTATGAAAGGCAAGTGTGTATCATTTTGCTAAGTCATCACTTATAAAAATTAAGTAAAAGCTTACAAATTGAAAAACCGACTACCAATAAATCAAACTTCTTAAAACTATAAACAAAAGTTAAACATCGGCACCGCCGACATGTCAAACCTTCGGTAATTATGAGGCAGTTTATTTTACTCCCAGCTCTTAGACTGTTAAATATGATTAGATTAGTGATTTATTTACGTCGAGTTTACCAAATTATCTTAAATTTTCTTGTGCTATTTCTTATTTAACCAGTTGTTTGGCTTCCACGGGTTAGTCGGTAAAAAAATACACTTCATTATAAAAAGTGATTCACAAAAAATTATTCTAAGGTAGGACATAGCCATACGAGTCATGTCCATGATAACTACGCACGCTTCTGAATAAAATCCAGACCTAAAAAGAAGAATTAAAGTGCCCGACGTACATGAATTTTTTCTAAGCATACTTTAGAACCATTTTGTGTGAATCACTCCTTAGTATATTTTTTTGAAAACTTACGTGTTATCTTTGGCAAGATTGACTAGTTCCTGTTCTATACGAAGCATTAGTGCTCTGTCTTTTGCATTTCTATTTAATGTCTCGGGAATGAACAATTCTAGATCTACACCAGTTGTATCAGTATACAGCTCAGAACTGCTATCTGTAAAAAAACAAACGTCTAAATAAAGCTTCTCTACCTAGTATGGGACCAGATATGAAATGTATACAATCAGTCAAATAATTTTGAAATTTCTTGTACATCAAATTTGGAAATAAACACTTGATATTTCCTTGATACTCTCAAATACATTTTTAGTATTTGTATAATACATAATTTATTAATTACTGTGGTACTTATATAGTTTATATATACTTTTAAAAAATTTTAAAAATAATCTTTTCAAATACCACTCGTCCTTTAAAATTTTAAGTTTCTACAAAAACAAACTGGTTGCGTGATTATATCCTAATTCAATTTTGGCTTTTGAATCAGGTTATAATTTTAAAAACTCGTAGTGTGAAAAATAGCCGATATTCGTTCAGAAAAATTTACAATTTACCTCTAGATAAGCACGGCGAATTTAGACAACTTTCGAAACTGCCTAAAGACGAGCTCTGCTGTCTAAGTTTACTCCTGGAATTGGCTCTCGACACCGATAATGTGTTGGGACTTCCGCTTATATTGACGTTATTCATATTGGTCGGATTATTGTTTATATTCTGTTCGTGTTGGTTCTTCATACATTTTAGGCAGTTCTGGGTTTGGCAATCACACACGGTTTTTTTCCTATAACTATGACTAGCTTGTTTTGACGAATTCGTTTTATTTGCGAAATTCGGACTAGATGTCTGAAAAAATAAAACAAATATATTGTATAGTATCGGTAATAAATTAAATGCGAGTTAAAGGAAATTAATATCAGGCGCTAGCAAATTAATTCAGATCCGGGTTATCAGCTTATCATCAGAAGTGGTACTATATTTTTTTGGTAAAAAAAAGATCTCCTCAACCATTAAGGGAATACATTTTTTACTATAATGATACTGGTTAGTCTATTCAATAACAAAAAACTGTGTTCATTGATTTTTCTGCAAACTTTTAGGTTCTACCTTAAATTCTCTTTCTACTGAAGGTTTTAAAGATTGGAACCACCTCGCTGAGACTTTAAAACAACCTGAAACATCTAAAAACAATATCCAAAGTCATTGATCTTGGATTGAATTTAGTCAAAGAATACAATACTCTAAAACGATTGACAGTCACTCACAAAGACTTATTATTGCAGAGATAAATTATTGGTACGAATAAAAATGTGCTAAAAATTGTTTAGACCTCCGAGATACAATTACGATTTCAGTAATGTTAATTTTATATGAATTATATTCAATTACTTCCTCAGTTTGATCCAGTAATGGAAGAACACATCAGCAGAGTGCTCAAAAAAGAGGAAGTTAAAGTCAACTATCTTGCAAGAGACATTCAAAATTAAATAATTATTCTTTTAAATGAAAATATACCATCATAAAGTAAAATCACTTACCATAAATCCACTATTGGGGCCATCCTGCTGATGGTCCGTTTGTAGATTATCGATCGGGGAAACGATTTCGAAGGAAGCACTGAGGTTAGGCGTACTCCTCGAAATATGTGTCGGTGAAGGTACTAGAGTGGTGGTAGGAGAGAGGCACTGAGGAGACTTGCAGAGAGGGCTTGCGGAGTGCACAGATGGACTCAGGACGACGAGAGGGGAAGACGACACTTCCGGAGAAGGGATGAGGGTGATACAAGGAGACAGGCGGGATTGTTGATGATAGTTAGGGTGTTGTTGAGGATGAGTATGGTAATTGGTATTCGGACTAGGATCTCTGGGCGGTGAAGTTTCTTCACGCATGGCATGGCTTCTAACTAGAACTTTTAATTTAGAGTTATTCTGAAAAGAAAATATTTAAGTCTATACATTTAAAGTCATTGTTACATGTTTAAACTTGCTAGTGTTACGCTGAACAGTGAATTATTTCTGACAAGTTGAACATAGATAAAAGGAAATACTTCAACATTGAGATATTCAAAGTTTCTGATTTCGTATTAAGCCAAGGAATAGGTAAACAGGGGCGACTCGTGACCAAAATTTTGGGGGTTCACAGTAGCAGAATATATATCCAGGTGCAGATATAGGTAAAGGACTGTCAGTATTTTAGAAAGGTATATTATAAACTTGCTAAAACACTGAAGGTTTTTTCATACATCTGTGCTGATACCTACATTCTGTCACTGTGAACCACCCCACGAGCCGCCACGGAGTAAAACACGTAAAAAATAAAATAGCTATCTCAAAACTTTAAATTCTAATGCTAGAATTTTAAAATATATTTCCAAAAATTAACACTAAAAATAGTTCATCTGATTCTGTGGCTACAACAAAGTTAATACTGTCGAAAAAGTACATAGAAATTGTTTTTTTTTGCCTTCAAAATATCACGAAACGCTGAAATTAAGTTTCTAGTTTATTGTAAAGAATTTCGACAATAGTCAATTTGAGCAACACATTTTAAAATTATAGCAGTTTTGACCTGGAGAAAAATAATTTTATTTTGAGTTATTCATTTTAGTCCAATATTTTTGTTAACATACACACTGATCTAGAGGAAAAAATAATGTTCAACTGGGGTCTCAAGCAAGTGGAACAGAATAGTGTGTATGAATGAATTTTTAAAATGAGAATTGTTCGATACGCCATAGACGTGCGACATTTTTATAAATGTACCACATTCACGTTGTAAAACATGTTATTGATAAAAATAAGTGTAACACCAAACAAATAAAAGCCCAGAGGCTCAATCAATTAACAAATACTATCTGATGACAACATACTACCTAAATAATCAGCCGCCGCCTATAAAATTTTTAAAAGCCCTTCTAAATCTTTAAAAGCCCTTTTAATTTCGATTTTAATTTCTCACTCTGTCATATTTTTTTGTTGCCTTTTTTTGTTGTTTGCTCTTTGGTTAAACCTTAAATCTTACAGCAAAACTGCACCCCTAAAAGACGTAAATTTAATTGCTTGCATATGCGACTCTTAGTGACTATATTTGTTATATTTTGTTTCTAAAGAACGTATGCTTGCACAGAGGCGTATTCAGAACGTATTTATGGTTAAAAATATGTATGTTGTTAGCAAGATCTTTGAAATGGGGCAGCACAAGTAAATTTTCAAATATTTTAAACGGGATTACTGAAATTAAAATACTTACTCTGCTTCTGGAGGGAGGTGCGGACGATGAATTGTCCGTTTCCTCAGAATCCATGCTTGTGTTTGAGCCCCTCTGCTGCATGCTGTTAACTCAAACCACAAAACATGTATCTGAAACGAAACACCTTGAGTTAAATCAATAGGTCGTATAAAAAATATAAGTTTTTAACATTGGTCGGTACGTTATATATGGGACCAAGAGAAAAAAGACATGATCTCGACACTAAGAATGATGGGCGTATCTGTCAGTTGACGGATTAAAATGCGGCGTGGATTGCTCATTTCTTTGAAAGTTTTGACCTGATCGTTTCGTTAATAATTTTATTTTGTTTATTTTATCTAAGGCGTTTGCTGTGGTTTCCTAATGACAATGCTCACAGGTTAGGAAAAAAAGTATACGAGCCATATGATATAGTTACGCCCATCTTTATTATTAATTATAGATTGCAATAATCAAGAATTTATTTTTGAAATTTTTTTTATCGGCGTGTATAATTAAAAAATCGGTAAAATTTCCATTTCTTGGACATAAACGAAGATAAATTATTATTTATATAATTTTGTGCAATTAATGACCATACAATTTTAAAATTTGAAATATTGTGCTTAACAGGTTGTAGAGACATACTTGATTTTAAAATAGGTTTTTATTTTTGAGAATATCTGTCTTTCCACAGGACAATTTATGGAAAACCTATATAATTTAAAACCAAAAATCAAAAAATACAATTTCCACTACTCCAAAATGCCCAAAGGTGGTTTTTCCATTGGTTAATTTGTGCAGTAAACACCCAGTTACATTTCATTATTATTTTAAAATAAAAACATAAAAATATAAATTAAATTTTAATAATGTTATTGTTTTCGTACGTGTTAATCTTTATTTTTTGGTACGCTACTGCGCTTTGGCTAATCGCGTCTCTGTGGTGTATTATTCCGAATGAGCGCGAAGGACCAATATGTTTTTGCGAAAGCCTGTAGTTGAAAAGAGAGGTTAACACGTCAACAGATTCGTGAAACAATGTGTCTGTTTAAAATCACTTAAATCAGTTTTGCCAACCTTGAAGAAAGATTTTTCCCTACCTTTTATGAAAAAATTCCTCCTGTTTAGGTGTGCCACTTATTCATCCTCAAAACCCGGATCTTTATTCTAAAAAAAAAAAAGAAAAAAAACCAGTTCTTTCTGTTAAACTTCTAAAAAAAGTCCTGAAACCCTTACAAGTTTATATACATATAAAAAATGATAAGCTAAATAATAATACTTTAAAAATACGTTAAAGAATTAACAAATTTTATTTTATTTATTTTTAAAATTATACCACAATTTGACTGTAGTAAAAAATTCCCGTTTTCAGTTAACTTTTTCCTTTTTGTGTTAAAAATTCCCACATAACGGGAAATTTCCCTTCGGTTGGCAACACTGATTTAAATCACGTTATTTTGTGCATCGTGCATAATCAAGGGATGACGTCACAAAGTAGGACGAGGCATACGAATCTTTCCAATCATTGATATAGAATAAAGAGGAGATGAAAATATTTACTATGATTTGAAGCATAAAAGTATTTTTAGGTTATAATGTTTATTTACAAATTTTAAACAACAATAATTTAGTTTATTATTGTAATTTATATTTTGTTTTTTGTTCCAGTGTCTATGACTTCTTTAGTAAAATCATGTAAGTAATATACAGTGAGCAAAAAATTTTTTTTTTGTTTTCTGCAAAAGACGTTAACGAGACAAAATTTAAACTATATCAACTTTATTATGTTGACTTTTATTTAAAACGGTACTCTTTTATAGGAAAACCATACAAATTAAGTAATGACTAGTTCGATCAAGAATTGGGCCCTTATGGCAATGATATAAATTGCCTAACGTTAAGCAGATCTTAGATTGCAGTTGCCAGCCAAGAAAAATCATTTTACCAGACAATTTTAACATATATTTCTTTTGAACAAAGATAATTTTTCGACCATAATACGTATGAATAATTGTTTAATTTAGTGACACTTTGTATTAAAAAATATTTATTTTACTATTTTTTCGTTTAAAATATAGATACTTACAAATTTATATTATATTCCATGCGTAGGTATTATTGAAACTTTGGTCTCCACGTTATTCTGAAACAAAATAAATTTGTTATATTTCAAAGGGCATATTTTTTTTCATCATTTGGATCAAAATATTTATATTATATTATTTGTCAGACTATGTAGAACAAAATTATTGTCTTGATACGATTGATATAACTGATATAATAATTGATATTTTATTTATTATTACATTACTCAACAGGTTAACACCAAATTACAGAGTTAGAGTACAAGAACAAATAAATACAATTAATTTAGAATACTTATACTAACTGATTGAACAGCAGGTGAGAAAAAAAAGCTAAGAGAATTATTTTTCTAGCATTTCATGAATATACGCAAAACTAAAGATTTCAGAGAACATTCTTACAGAAATAACACCTAATATTATGAATTGAACAAATCAAGCTGGCAACTTACTAAATCATAATTATTACAGTAGGGGATTATTAAGAGAACATTTGCTCTGGGTGTATTCAAGTAAAATGTACGGGTGTTCTTGGAAGCTATGTGAGGAACTGCAAAATTAAGACTATAAATCAAATATGAAAAATCAATTTTAAATGAAATTTTTAGTTTCTCTGAGGACTCGTGGACCTCTGAGGCTGAGGATGTTTGGGTCACCGTTATACCCAGCCGCAAAAAACGATACAATGTTCATATTTGTTGTGTTTACATACTTCCCAGAGACAGGGTGACACTAAATTTATTTTGCACTAATTTTCTTCATATTTTTCTAAATAACATAAATGATAACTACATCATTTGTGGCGATTTTAATTAACCACAAATAAAGTGGTTTAAAGATACTATCGATAATTACTACAAACCAACCAATTATAGAGATCCCTATTCTAATTTATTGGTGAGCACCATGTCCTTCGCTGGTATGTATCAATACAATAATTCTACTGTTAACGTAAGCGGTAACACTTTAGATCTTGTTTTAAATAATAATTTTTTAATAAAAAATATAAAGTCGTCTACTTTGCCACTGGTTGCTGAGGATCCATCACATAATACTCTAGAATTTGATATTAAATATTCTAATGTAACGAAAACGAAAGTAAATAATCATTATGAAAAAAACTTCAATTTAGCAAACTACACTGAAATAAATCATCTTCTATCTGCAATTGACTGGAATAAACAATTTCAATGCCATGTTACTAAGAATCCCAAGTATTGTAAAGCATATCCTTTTTGGTTTTCTTTGTCAACTATTAAAAAATATAATAATGACATGCACTATTTGATATTCAAAATTTTACGTGGTAGATCAAAATTTTTGATAAACAAGGATTACAAAGAATATTTAAATTGGGTTGAATCTAATATTATAAATATCTATCTGAATTAGGGCGTGGTTCAAAGCCCACTTGTAATGAAGCTCTAGGCTTATTGTACCCCTCACAGTTTCTATCCCATCAGATTGATTTTCTTGATGAATTCAAGAATATGTCTGATGGGCGCTTTCGTGATTTCTTCAGGTTCCGGATATTGTACCCCGAAGTACCATTCCCGTTCCCATTTAAGGTTCCGACAGTGGCATAGTATGTGAATAGGAGTTTCGTCCTCCTCTTCACATATTCTACATAAAGAGTCATCAGATATCCCTAAGAGATTTAGGTGTCTTCTAAGTCCGCAGTGTCTCGTAAGGAGTCCTATTACGGCCTTGAGTTCGCTTCCGCTAAGGTTTAGCAGTTGATGTTGTCTGCTCGTGGATGGCCCCTCTATGAATCTAATATTACTGAAAATCCTAAGTATTTTTTCAATATGTTAAAAACAAAAACAAATCCCCCATTTTACCCGATAATCTTGTAACCGATACAGGTCTAATTACAGAACCACAGGAAATCTGTAACACCTTTTCTGATTTATTTTCGTCTGTTTTTGTGCCAAGTGGTCCTAGTGATTTTTCTGCTATTTTCAACAGCGTTCCTCTGAATATTACCCAATATAAAATATCTCGTGAAATGATTTCATTAAAAATAGACAATATGCCTGATAGAGGTCCTGGTCCAAACAAGATTCCTACATGCTTTATTAAAAAGTGTAAAAATTATGTCATTGACTCTTTATATTTCTTATTTAATAAATCTTTAACCGAAGGACAGTTTCCTGATTAATGGAAAACGGCTTTCGTTGTGCCAATCCACAAATCAGGAAATAAAAACAAGGTGAATAATTTTAGACCTATATCAAAACTTAACTTATTAAGTAAACTATTTGAAAGTTTAATTTTTGATTTTGTATTTTGTGATATCAAGAATATTCTTAACATTGAACAACATGGTTTTATTAAAAAACGACCGGTTGAAACTAATTTATTTGTTTATGTTGAAAAGTTTAAATTACAGAATGTTTGCAGATTCTGTGTATACCGACTTCAGTAAGGGTTTTGATAAAATTGACCATTCTATCCTAACATCGCGGCTCACTGAGGTCGGCGTACACGGAAATCTGCTAAGATAGTTGGACTCATATAAGAGTCCAATAAAGTCCAATAAAGAAATAGGTCTAAATAGGTAGCATTAGGTTAATAAAAATCTATATTTATCATTCCTACATCAGAAGTACCACAAGGATCTCATCTTGGGCTGTTTTTTTTTTAGAAATTTCACAGAAAATGGACCTGATTATATAAAAATACTTGGTATTTAAACATAATGCTCTGTTGTCACGGTTGTCACGCTTTTCACTTTCGGAAATCTGGCAACCCTAGAATTGATCTCAGATCCACGGTAACTGTCGGGGTAGTACTATAAGTTTGTTTAATTAATTTTGTGATTCGGAATTATTTACCTACAGATCTATACTTGTTTTTCAACTAAAATAATACGTTTTTAGAGTAAAATATTATCTAAAAAATTTAAAAGGCTGCGTTCCATAAAGTTGGATCCATATGGGATTTTTTTAATATTACGATTTGAAAAAGAACTTCGTAGGGCAATCGCCTCTGATTACTTAAAAACTTAAAATAGCCCATATCATAATGACATTAGATTTCTTTCAAATTGACATTATATATTTTTTTAAACGATTTTTATAAAAAAAAACTAAATTTGACCGATAACTAATGCAGCATATTTAACAAAATTTAATGCTTGATTATGAATTCCCAAGCGATTCAAAACTTTTTATCAAAAATATTTTTTTTTGTGAAATATAAGACAAACTTTTATTTATCTTATTTAAAAAAAATAATATTTAATTTTGTAATTATAATCTTCAAAAAAAGAAATAAGTAATATACGTAAGATTCATATAATCTAAAGTATTCAAGAATTGAAAATGATTTCAAAATTAATTGTTTGAATTTAATATTCGATTGAAAATATTTTATATTATGTACTTAATTCAGTACCATCTAAAGTAGATTGAACAAAAAATCGCGTGTAGCTGCTAGACAGCGTATTTTAACATAATACTATCGTGCATCCGCCAAAATTTTAAAATTACATAACATTACAAGACGTCCACCAAAATTTTAAATAAATGATTCCTCCAAAAAATATGTTTGGAAGCTGAGAATGAATTTTATTTTAAAATACTACTTTCTTAAAATTTTAACGGCGAGTGCTAGTTTCTAGAAGTAAAATATTGACATGCAAAGGTTTCGCAGTCCCTCACTTTTATTTTAGACAATAAAAAAAAATGTGTAGGTGTAGGCAAAAGTCTAATGTCTAATTTATTTGATTTGTTTTCATAAAAAAATTGAGAAAACTGAATTTTTCATGATTTTTTTTATATGCTATACAGTTTGTAACAGTTCGTTACAAGATTTTTAAGCGACTGAATCTCTAATAAAATGTAAAAAATCAAACTTTTTGTAAACAAAATTAGTCTAGTGAGTTTTCGTCGTTGTTTAAACTAATATCATTACAATATATTACTTATTAATATGAAGGTTTTTGAGAATGAACAGATCGGACTCTTTTTAATTTTTGTTTATAATATTCTTGACTTCGATTAGATTAAAATAGTGTCCGATTCCTTTGATACTTGCAATTTAATTTGCAATTTGGCAACGCTGTTGCTCTTAAAATAGAATTTGTCAATATAACCTACAAAAGGGATTATTAATTATAATTTTTTCTAAAAATTGTGGTTTTTCCACATTTTTTTTTATTTTACTATAAAAACTACTTAACTTTTTAATGTTTAAACATTTTTTGAGTAATCTGGATTCTTCACAGAACCTAAACGCGCACAACTTTTGAAGAGGAGGATAATAAGTTTAATTATAACTTTTTAATCCAAATCGATGAAATTCGAACGAATTCTGAGGTAATAGCCTATTTTTATCCTCAAATACTGTACAATAATATCAAATCTATAAAATTAAAAAGAAAAAAATAGCTGTACATTTATATTAAATTTTCTGCATACTTTCAAATTTATTTTATTATGGCATAATTTCATATAAATCTAATAAGTGTTTAATCCTAATATCGCTTATACAGACAGGAAAAACATAAATAAACAAGATACTCACGACTAATAACCACCAATCAAAAACGGTCGTGATATTTGTCAACACGCGGCAATAACATAACGCATATCGTGATAGGCAATCCGCCGTGATGTAATGATTCACTGAGAAATTCAATCAAAATCGACATCCATCCAGTCATCCAGTCTAAAGAGTCTAGCATTCGATTGTTTCCGGGTAATACCACGGTTGGAAATTCATCGCGGGCCGCGCTCTCGCCACAAGTTCAAAGGACCTACTGAACTAGTGAACTTGACTCATTCTGTGCTGGCATGTGCCGACGAACGCTTGTCGTTTTTCTAATCGATCGCTTGCGAATCCCAACATTTTCATATCATCAATAATTATTAAGAGTAACGTCATTTTTTATTGGTCAGAACGATAGTGATAGGATAGCATTTTTAATTAGAGGATGATTTTGATGTTTTTGAGCTATACCAGGAAATATTTTTTGTGCATCACTCTATACAATAAGTTTATTATCAACAAGGTCTGAAAATCCTGTTTTCATGAGGTTGCCAAAATAATTAAA